GAAACGAAACTGAGTGGAGTCAGAATTGTTTGTTCTACAAAAAGTAAACTGGCCTAAATAACTTTACATACTAATATTTCTCAATCTATCATAAACCTAACATAAACTACAGTTACTTATCATATAATTCTGCTTCTAATGCTTTTCTGTGGTTATCCCATCATTCTAATTCATCTTTCAGAATACAGGAAACAAACATTAGTTTCCCATTCTTTCTGATTTGTTTGAGTCAGCATTCACTGAGCCCTCTTCCATAGCAGGGCGGGTGACTTAAGGACTGGGAGAATGACTCAAAGACTCCTCCTGGAAAGGCATACACTCAAGAAGAAGACAAATAAATGTTAACTGTAACAAAAAATACAAACACATGGCATGAATACAGCTGTGGGAGCCAATCCTATAGGAGCAAAAAAGAAGCGGATAATTAATTTTAACTCAGTGTTGGCAGGAAGGTGTGAATCCAGGAGAGCTTATGAGAAGGATGGCATTCAAATGAGGTCTTAAAGGAGATTTTCAAAATGGAAAAAGGCAGGATTTCACACTTGATTTTGTTTTAGGAACCAAGTCTGCTGTGCCTCGGAGTAAATGCTCTTTCCTTTAATATGGTTTCTCGTCTCAGCAGAATGCAAGGTAACCGAAGGCTCCATCTGAAAGCAATTTTACATACGAGATTTGCTTTCTCTGGCTTCAAATATTTCTAAAATGTACCTGTCTAACAACATCTATGCTGGTTACCTATCCAGGGAACTATCTTCAGGTGAAAGCATCTAAATGAAAAGGGAGACTCACTCTCTTTGCCTTTTGCTAGTATTTCATTTGTCAAAACTGACTTTTTAATAAAGTCCTTACCCTGATGTTGGTATTTTCATGGGAACCAAACTAACTGCCTGGGATGCAAACTCAGCTCTGTTACTTACTTAAAAATTCCATGATCAGGCTACTTAACTTTGTCTATACTTCCATTTCGCCGTCTGTAAAATGAAGGTGATAACAGAACCCACCTCATGTGGTTCTCGTGAGAATGAACTGATTACATGTAAATGCTTAAAACAACACCCAGCATACAGTAGAGCAACAATACATGTAACTTTCTTCCAAGAAGAAATGTTTTTAAGAGTTTATTTCTAATGTGCTACATCAATTTAGTATGAAAAGAGTTTCCCATCTTATTTCACTTTTAGGCAGACTCTGAAACTGCATTTACTTTCAGAGAAGGATGCCGAAAAAAAAAGCTAAATCTGATGTCTGATACCTAGACAGTAATGGCAGTAACAGAGAAATAGCTTATTTCAGAAGGTCCATGACATAATTAGGGATAGAATAAGCAGAAATCGTATTATAACCAATTTTTAAGCATTCGCCAAAGTTAGGATTGACAGCTAACCTAATAGTTCTTTTCTCTTTTTCTTTTGTTCCTTATACTTTTAAAGCCAAATCCTCTATTATTCCATTTTCTAGGTATCATACAGGAAAACATTGTGAGATCATAGACCTACTCACAAATATTTGACTAAAACAATAGTAAATTTTTCATTTTAAACCAAGTAAAGAATTAGAGATGAGTAAATTTTATTGTCTGTCCTTTCCATGGTGTTGCAAGCCCGTGGCAACAAATGTCCCAACAAGCTGAAGAGAATTTGGCTGGTCCACTCAGAGCAACAAGGGAGATTTGATACAGGCTGTAGATTCTGATAAGGGCTAGAGCAGACGACTGTATGAGAACATAGTGAGAAACCCCGGAAAGTCCTCCGCTCACAGCAGCTGAAACTGCACCACCTCACTGCTTAGAGTGCGAGTCAGAGAACTCTGGGGCCGGCTGGCAGGTTCAAATCTTAGCACTGCCGCCTTCAAGGTATGTGGCCCAGGACATGTTAGTTAACCTGCTTCTTAATGTGCAAAACAGGGACAATAAATGGGTTTGTTGTAAAGATTAAATTAATATCTGAAAAGCATTTGGACTAGTATTTGGCACACAGTGCTATTTAATAGTGTCTACTAAAGAAATACTGCAGCAATTTGGGCACTTACAATTATTTCCACATGCAGGTATGGAGAGGGTTTCAGTTTTTAGTGTAGGCTCTCTCCGAGAATCATTAAATTAAAATAAATTATCAGGAAGATTTTTTTTTTGGTCCAACTTTTTTTGGGGGGTAGGTGATTAGGTTTGTTTATTTATTTAATGGAGGCACTGGGGATTGAACCCAGGACCTTGTGCATGCTAAGCCCTTGCTTTACCCTCCCAAGAAGATCTTTAAAATTTGATACTGAGGTAATTGACCATAAGGAACATTATACTTGCATTACTTCTTTAATATCTAGATTGCAAATAAAAATGCATTTGGATTTGACAGTATTTTAGAAATGCAAAAGCCACACAGCCATTGATATTTTCTATATTCCCAAGAGGTTCATGATTAAAGAGTCTAAAATCCATTTAATTATTTTAAGAGCTAAAAATTGAAATAGCAAAGATATTAACAATTTACAATCACTATGAATACAGCATAAGCAACTTGGATTATGAAAGGGAAGATCCCAAAAAGAAAAATACTCCAACTTCTCTCCATGTAAGGTAAATACTACAGAAGATAATAAAAAGCTTTGTTGCTGAGTTTCATTCGGTTTCATTCATGTTTAATCATGTAAGCATTAAGACTTCCTAGAGCAGAGGCTGAAAACAACCAAGCTCTAATCACCCTTTTCCAATCCAAGACTAATCACTGTCTCACATGAACTATAAATACGCCCTAAGCCAAAATGTGCCCAGGGTCTATTCCAGGCCTCTATTTAGATGTAAACTGAACATTTATAAGAGGTGAGATTTCAAATGCTTATCTGGAGGGGAGACAGCATATCACAGGTGTCCCCTTCACAATCAGTTACATCATTCTGGAACACCAGGCTCGTCCCTGCAAGCGGGCTTATGAATTATTCTGACTACAATAGCAAGTCTTACCCCTTAAATGGACTGTGGTCATCAGGCTTATAACTCTGATTCTCCTGCTTTTTCTCCAGTAAATACCAATTTGTTTGTGTATGCAATGTTTTCCGAAAACTCTATCATGAATTAATTTAATTCTTTATAGGAGCACTTGGGTGACAGACTGACAAATGGAAACTTGGTACTTGAAAATTTCTGTACCATCTGAAGAGGTTCTACTCTAGAACCTTCTCCATACTTTCACACTTTCTTTGACTTGGGAGAAGTGTCTCAAGCTATAAACAACAGAAAGCCTCCATTATTTTTGTGGTAGATATGAGGAAAATGGACTGAAATAAAAGTTGAGATGAGAAATTAAGCACTTTTTTTAGCTGGGACTTAAAGTTTGTATGAGAAGATCAAAACTCAGGTTTGGGTCCCAAAATAAACTTTTGAATTTGGAAAATTTTGTGAGGTGTTCTTTGCGGGGAGGTAGGTATCAGACCTTAGAAAGTGACTTTCTAATATTTATCAGAAAGGAAATTTTCAAAATACCAAATTTGTCTTCTATCACACGAGTGTATATATCACCCACTCACCTTGTGCGGTGTCACTGAAAAGTCTTGGTTTTAAAAGATGATATCAATGCCACAAAAAATACAAGCCAATTATTTCCAGTGCCAAATTCCTTCCTTCCTTCCTTCCTTCCTCCCTCCCTCCCTTTCTTTTCCTGTTCTTTCTTTCTCTTTCTCCCTTCTCTCGCTCTCTGTGTGTCTCTGTCTTTGTGTGTGTGTCTCTCTCTGCTTTTTTTCCTTTTATCTTGTTTATTTCCGTCTTTCTGATGAGTGTTTTAAAAGAGGCATCTACACACAACCCTAGTACTGGCCCAAGCCCCAAGAACCTTCCATTTAGCAACGCTCTGGGAGTTGGGAACCTTTGTAACAACAGCAAAACAGAAAAGCTTTTGCCTGATGCCCCAGGTTTCCTCCCAGTCTGCAACCATCCGTCTTCACCGGATCTCGGTTGGATCCTGCGAGCGACAAAGCCTTGTAGAGCCCGGCCCCACTTCGGCCAAAGGGACGATTCCCAGGCCACCCGGCCAGGAGGCGCTGTGGGCCAGTCCCCCCGTGGCCACCGGCAGCCGGCGCCCAGCCTTCCCTCCCCCCACCGCGGAGCCCAGCCCGGCGGCGGAGCTCCGAGTTCTGCACCGCCCGCAGGGGTTACTCTCGGTCATTCCGCTGCACCATCTCGCCCCAGCTTCCCCATCCGTGCCCGGCCTGAGGCTGCCCCAAGAGACAAGCAGCAAAGGGCAGGAAGATGGGGGGCGGAGGATTGGGCACCTCGGCTCCAGGTTCCCCAGGCTCTCCTTCTAAGTCTAACGTTTTGTAAAGAAACAAAACTCGTCCTCCCGCTGCGCCAGGGATATCAGCTCCGGGGAGCGCCTGAAGACCGTGGGGCACGACCTCAGGTCAAACAAACCCCTGAGGCCTCAAATGAGCAATAGCCCAAGGACCCGGTTTGGGACACATCCCAGTCGAGTTCTTGAGGAACAAAAACGCGTCGCTTCAGTCCGGGGGCGCACGGGTCCGATCCCCAGGTCAGAGCCCAACTCAGACCAGCTCCTTAAGAACGAAGTGGGAACCAACGGCTGGCATTCGTGCCGGTGGGCGCCGGCCGACCCGCAGGCACAGAGGTTTCCAGCCGGCTCAGGCGCTTCCGAACAAAGGGAAGAGCTCAGTGCCAGACCTGCCACTCTCCCCACTCCGACAGCAGCGCGCCCAGCACCACCAGAAGCCCCCGAGTCCACTGCGCCCCAGGTACTGCGCCCAGGTCTCCGCGCCCAGAGATGCTCCCGGGGCTCCACAGCCGGGCAAGCACCGAGCGCAGCGGTGCCGTCTCCGGGTCGCCAGAGCTCGTCCTAGGACGTCCTTCCCCCATTTACGCCGCCCGCCGCCCCATTTGCACTGCAGGAGGCGAGGAGATGGGAGTTCGGACTCCAGATCCCGAAACCCAGCGCTCCCCAAAGTCCTCTCGGCCCCGAAGCAAAACAATAACCCCAAGCCACTGGATCGCCTCTTACCTGTTTTCCACTTTCTTGTTTGCGTCTCTCTTCCCCCACCCCTAGAAAAATCCTTCGGGGTCAAAGTAGGAGAAAAAGGAACAAAGCGCCCGGAGAAATTGTCTGTGGTGACACTGGTCGCGCGGTGCCCCCTTCCCTGACCACCTGCGCCCTGGGAGAGAGGTGTTGGCGCGGCTCTGCCGGCCCTGGCCGCACTCACTCTTCCTCGGAATTACCGGGGTTTTGCCGCGACTAGTTCCTTTTATAGATTCGGCCGCGCCGAGCGCAGAGGTTACTATCGGTCAAAGCCTGTTCTCTCCCTTCTTCCCCGCCCCCTTTCCCGGCCTCTGTTTATGTAGTTCAGTCACTCAGCAGAAAGCACGTGGAGTCTCGCCCCGCCTCTTAAACGGGCGACGTCCGGCCGCGCGAGCAGGGCTGGGGCGGGAGGGCGCAGGTCGGGGAGCGCCCTGCCCCCGCCCGGCCGGCGGCCCAGGACCACAGCAAAACGCGTGGCGTGGGGCTGCGCCCGCCAAACTGCCTCACCCTCCTTCCGGGCAGCCAACAGCACCGGTGGAAATCGCTTCCACTAAACTGGTGCTTCCAGCAATTTTTGTTTCCTTTGTTCCTTTACTCAGTTGGAGGGACTGGGAGGGGGTGCAGGGACGGAGAACGCGAGACTGAAAACCCTCAGGACGTCAACTCTTTCGTCTTTTTTCCCTTTCAAATGCCCAGGATGTGGGAGAAGGTGGACAGTTGTCTGGATAACCGGCTGGTTTTGTTTTCAACCACAAACCCTGAATTTGGAAATCAAAAGGTGACTTATTGCCTCCCAGCCTGGGCCTCCTAGGTCCCTGGGAGGACCCCTGAAAAGCGTCTTGTTCCTTGTCTTGGCAAACTGGGGGGAGGAAAGAGACCACAAAAGACGGAACAATGTGGACCTTTTTAGTTTCATCATATTGGTCAGCATCCCAGTGATAGATAAATATACATGGCTTCTATTTTTGTTTCTACAGATTCGCGAAGTGCAGCTAAATCGCATAAAGGAGATGGTGTAAAATTGCATAAACATTTCAGTTCTCCAACTTCTTTCTCTAGCTCTGGCTTTGACAGTCAGGAGCAAGATGGCCCATAATGTATGAGGAACAGAAGCAAGTGTACAAATGGAGGCCCACATACTTTAAGTCTAAATATTTAACTCATAAATCAAGCCAATAAACTGTAAAATAAGTGCCTCCAACCTTGAGATACCTTTGGAGCAAACCGGAAGGACAGGTTCACATTCAGACTCCTCACGCTTTGACTTGAGTTTTGGCAAGAAAGTGGTGGAGTAGGAGAGCCAACACCAGACCACTACTATCCCCACCCCCAGCTCCATTCTATTCCAGAAGAACCTCTGTGTGCATGTAGGCCCCCTGCTGCACCGGCCCCCTCCACACTACCGTGAAGGCTACAGTCTGAGCCCAGAACCACTTGTCAGTAGCTCTGTCGACACTTAGGACCGATCCAGTGAGGAGGCCCATGCAGGCCCTGGAAGTGCATTTCGGGAACTTAGGGCATGGAATTCTGAGGTCCTGGCTACTCATAACTCTGGTGGCATAGCCCCTTGGTCCTGTTGACTGCTCACCCTTAGGAAGAGATGGAATTTGAGGCAGGCCAGAGCCAAGCCTTCTGAAGCCCAGGACACAGGAGAAGAACCCCCCTTGCCTAAATCAAAGGACAGCCCTGCCTAAGAGACTGGGTGCTGGGGTCAGATTTGACTGAACATGATCCCCAACCTTCTGCCTCCATTTCTTCATTGGTAAAAATAGACTATATATGCTCTCCCTGCCTCACAGGGCTTTCTGAAAGTGAATTTTGTTCATTTGAGCTCCTGGGAGTAACAGCAGTGTAAACAAAGAGGGTGTTAGTAGCTGACTATTAAGTCATGTTCAGGTAAGACATCACTTGGACAGGTTTTCCCATGCCAAAATGTTACAACTCCAAGTCTAGCAAAGAATTCAAAGTAATCTCTCTGAGCCTCTAATATAAAGGAAAGCTACTGGAAGAGGTGTGACCATTCCAAGTGTGATTTGGGGGAATGAGTCTCTGACTCTCCGTCCTCTGTCCCACCCCACCACCCACCAATCACAGTGCTTAGAATCCCATCACCAAAATCATTCTTTTTGGAACTGAAAGCTACAGTCCCCAAGAGCATTCCTATTAAAATAGTCCCTTAGATTGCTCTCCTGCGTAATGAGTGACTGAAAGCCCTGTACGAATGAGACAAAGATAGGATGTTGGGGAAAGGAGGTGAGCCCAGGAGGAGATGAAAGCCCCAGACAGAGGACAACCATTGATTCTAAATACATAACTCTATGGCCCCAAAGCCAAACTTGATCATTTTTAACTAAGAACAACTGGTGGTATCAAGAATCTTCTCAGCTCTGCAGTGAAAACATAAACACACTGTAAAGTTTGAAATGTTAATTAGTCACATTGATTTCTACCAACGAAAGAGTCCAAGCCCCCAAAGAGTGATTTGACCAAGGAACACAAGGACATAAGTCTGCATATACTTTGCAAGTATGACAGGTTGGTATGACAAAAATACTGAATTCCGAAAGTTAGAGGCCTAAGAGAATGCGTCCCATGAGAAAGTCTGCAAATGTGAATTCTCTCCCTTGAATGTCACAGGTTGACTTGTTCCTGAATATGCTTCAGTGAGCTTTCCTGTAAGTCCTTGAGTTCCTGCTAACACCAACACCAAAACTCCAGCTCCCTACCTTAGGGGACCCTTTCAAACAAGTAGAATGGCTCTTCTTTGTTGCTGCGGGGAGGCTGGTTCTGTCAACACAGCCTGGATGTCTGAAGTCCTATTCTGAGATGACCCTGGCACCTTCTAAATACAGAATTGTCCTTCAGGCAGCTGCGGCCTTGGAGACCCTGCTAGATGTCATGGAGCTAGGAATTATCATTCTTTTGAGACTTTTAAATTAGGGATTATCTAAAAGGCTTTGCTTGGAAATTGCTTTGATACATAATATCTGTTCACTGGTCTACATAAATGTACATATACACTTTGTTTAAAATGTAAGTGATTTTCACCACACTTGTGTTTTTGGTTGGTATGCACGCCATACTGTTTGGTTCCTGGAAACGCTGAAACAGTAAGAGTATTGCAGGAAGTCAATGAAGAATAAAACAAAGTATTCTAAAAATAACTTCTCAAGCAGAATTTGTTACAATTAAGTAGACTTAATAGCTGGTTTTTTGGAAAATTTCTGGAGAATGACAGGTGCTCCAAAATTAAAGAAAAAAATAGGTAATCCTTCTTTCATATAAGGAGAAATAAAAGGACCTACAGTTCATATTTGAGTCAGTTTCATTCGAATACATGATTAGACACAGAAACAAATTCTTAAGCTATAGATGTTCAAATAAAAAAATACAAGGAATCACCATTTTTTGTGGACTAAAACATGTATTGCATAGGCTTTCAATACCTACAAATTCAATTTAATTGGACCAATACAATTCCTTTCTTTATTAATGTGATTTCTATTGACACGTAAGTAAGATTCAAAACCATTACTGCTTCTGGACTTGAGCAACGTGTTTGTTCTGTTTGTCACTGGGATCAACAAGTTAGCCTGGATTATAGACAGATATATGCCCCTGAATTACTAGTTGATCAATGAGTTATAATTCTTTTTAAAAGCCATTCTTCTAACCTGCCTCCCTTCAAGATGTCCCGCCTTTAAGAGCCAAGCTGCTGACAAGATTTCATCTGTAATCTCTCTCTTTTATTACTCTCCAGCCCATTATAGGCAAACTTTGGCCCCCACCACTCTGAGTTTGTTCTGTCCAAATTCATTAATGACCTTCTTAAAAGGAGAGAGAGGCATATGTGCTTTTCTTTTTCATCATTATAAAATATTTTCAGGTAGAAAGATAGAAAAGTATCTCAAGCAAAGAAAGACCTTTTAAGTGGTGATGCTGATGACCTCCTTTAAGTCCCTGGGCTACCTGATCTCCGGTATTTGACACTACAGACCACACCTTCCTTCCTGTAACTGGTTCTTCTCTTGTATTTCCTGAATCTACTTCTCTTTTGGCCTTCTTGACTCTGTAATCATTCTTTTCCTGACTCTTCTGTATATGTGTGTGTGTGTATACATATATATTTTTTCTAATACTAGTTGTCTCTTCTTAATTTTACATGATCTACTCCCTTGGCTTCATGTAAACCCTGTATCACCAGGTCTCACCTCCTTGCTGGGCTCCGGGACCATGCCCCTCCATGTTCGGCGGAACATCCAGCAGAATCAGTGGAGGGCTAGAATCAACTCATTCTAGGTCAGAAGAGCTTTCTGTGTGTGTATATCTCTTCTCAACTCTGCAATCGGTGACTTTCATGGGGCTAGCTTAAAATTGGCCCATGGTGGGAATATTTACACTGTTGAAATCTGATACAGTCAGGATTTTCTTTTTTTTTTTCTTTTTTTTGCAAAGCCGTTTTAACATTTCCCAGCACAACAGTAAACAGGACATTTTGCAACTAAAACCAAAGCCAAATTTTTTTGTTTAATCTTCCCTTTAAATCTCCTTGCTCCTTCTGCATTTTATGTTTTGATTTCATTTAATGACATCATCATCCACACGTCAACTGTGGGAAGTGATAGTCATACTTGCTTAACTTTTCATCTCTCTGTCCTCATCTTTCTCTTCTCATTCTAAAAACCACCCAAGTCAAGTCAGTTGGATCTCCTAAATATCTCCTAAATCTGGCCCTTTCTCTCCATCCCCACTGCCTAAATCCAAGCCAAAAGGCTGGGTAACCTCCAAATTGCTGTTCCTGCCTTTAGTTTCTTCCTCTTCTTATTTATCTTCCCTACCACAAAGGAGTGAGTTTTGCCTGAAGATAAAAGAGCTAAGCAAACCAACACAAAACAAAAAAGTATCTAATCATATGTCTCCCCCTCTCAAAACTTCCTATGGTTCTCCATTGCTTATGAAGACACAATCTCTCAAAGTTCCCTTAAGAAGACCTACAAAGTCCTTTGCAGACAGGACATAGAAGGGCTTTGAAGCCTCCTCCATCCCCTCCATCCCTGTCTCCCCTCTAACCCACACCTCATTCCACAGACTTTCTGTGTCTCTGCTCCCAGTTTCCTTGCTTGGAAATCCTTCTCATCTCCACCGCTGTCTTCCTATGTGAGATTATTGAAGGAGATGGATAGGATTAAATAACTCATGCTGTTGTGCTATTATTCTAGAACCAGTGGTCAAAAGGGACAGAGAAGAGAGAGAATTAGAAATCACTTCCCTCATTAGATAAAAAGGTATGGGATAAAGGACAGGT